CTTGCATTTTACAATTTACTTTTTTAGATAATAGTTTAGATCATTATTTGGATACTTCCACCATGAATCCAGTGCAACGGTAAATGCATGGAATTCCTTATCAATCGCATACAAATTATTCGAACAAATAAATGGTAAAAAATTTAGTATGGTATTGTCGTTCTCATCGATGAACCCATAAATTTGATGTTGATATGTACATACATATTTGATAATAATAAACAATTTTACAATTTCAATTTTTTTTTATAGATGGCTTTTATTTTTTCAACTTCACACACTTGAACACTGAAAAATGAGATGCAATAAAATTTAACTGCTCAAATTACTCATTAAGTTACACAATTTGACTTACTCAAAAAGAATATAAGGCGAGTTATATACAATTAAAGCGCAGAAGATGTGATCAATGTCTTGTAGGGTGTTTGTGAATCGAAGGATTTGATTAATGTTAAATGTGAATGATACTGTGACAGACGGAATTTTAAAAATATTTACTGTGTTTAGGTTTGAAATAAATGAAGAATTTTGATTGTTGATGGGTAGCTTGATTGTTATTAAATATCATGAATATTTTTTTAGTGCTTCGTCTTGTAATATATCTTTTGTCTGCTTTTTAAAGTTAGCAATTTTTTTTTCCTATTTTTTTGTCCGTTTTTTTTAATGTATATTTGGTGGAAATACCGTTTATAATTGTTGGATCTGCCGACAAAATACTTTGTTCCAGGCCATTTGACTCCACATACTCAAAAATATCGTTAACGTTTTTGTATCTTGAGAGTGTCTGTTAATAAATATTGTGTAATTATTGTTATTTGTGTGATTGTAAATATATTATTATAATTGTTACATACTTTTATGTTTTTATTTAATAAATACTGAATTTTATTGCACCGGGATGTCAAAATCAAATTAAATTGTTCAACATCATTTATTCTACAACCATAACTATTAATTAAATGCATTAAACTTGTTGACATCAAGTGGCTATTGTTGTAGAGCATTGTAATTGAAGAAGCAACCGTATTTAATACATTCTATCAATAAGAAGAAAATACCAGTATAGTATTGATAATATTACTATAATATATGTAAAAGAAAGCTTTTTTTTTCTTTAAAAAATAAATACATACCGTTGAACGATTTCTACGTTGTAAGCCTGAGTGTGGCTTATCAAAATGCACATAATTTAAGTGTTGCAACAATGTCACTTCAAATATAAATAAATTGTTGATCACAGAACGGACAACTAATATTTAAGAATTTATATTTTATTTCCGTCACATCATACTGACGATCAATGTCATTTACAAGTTTACCTAAAACAAAAATTAAAAAAAAATCCTGGTAATTAGATAACACCCGTCTCCAGGTACCCTCCCCGTCATTTGCGTGTGGTTGTGCAAATATCATTTAATAAATCCTGGTAATTAGATGTTGCTCTGGCGTCATATGGTACCATTATGACAGCTTTGGTTTGAAAAGGATTTTCTATACATTCTTTTAAGTTTAACTTAAACGTCGTTATCATCTAATGGTAGTGACCATTACTAATGAAGAATTTTAGATTCTGAGTGGAACGATGAATGTATTGATTTTACAATGATGTGTGTTTTTTTTTTATTTTATATTTTTTTAATTTTTTAATTTTCTAATTAATTAATTTTTTTATTTTTGTGTCTGTGTACACGATAAGTAGTCGAAATAATGCTACGATTTTCAACTTCAGTATCTTGTTCGATCAGAAAGTGAATATCGTTGGTGCATTGGGGAGGTAAAAATTTCAATTTCAATTTAGTTTTCAAAAGCGCCGGGAAAAACAAAAGAAAAATTAAGGAAAAACGGGAATTTTTACGCAAAATCTGTTTTCGAGAAAATCGATTTTGGTTTTTGGTGTAACTTTAAAACAAATGACCGTAGATACATGAAATTTTCACTGGTTGTTTATATTTGCATTTTCCATACACGATAACATTTTCAAAATTTTTTGATATATTTTGAACTGTTTATGGACATTTTCATTTTCCATATTTTTTTAGTTTTTTTTTTATGAATATCAATAAAAATGTATTTGTTGGAGAAAAAAGCTTGAAAATTTAATACAACGCTCCTAGTATATTGTTTCAAAGGCAGATGAAAAATATTAAAAATCGTTAGTCACAGTTTTTTTTTATAAGCGTTTAAAGTTCAAAAATTGACAAAAAATGGAAAAATCACGAAAATTAGCAAATTATTTTGAGTTAAGAATTAGTAAAAATTTTTCTTTTAAAATCTAAGATTTTAATATGTAATACAAGATTCCTTATAAGATCATCTACCTTTATCAAAAAAAAAAATTTCTATAAGAAAGTCAAATTAAATTATTATGAGCGTTTGTAATTCAAATTTTTACAACATTGGATATAAAATATTTGAGAATTAAATTAACAAAATAATTAATATCTTAAAAAAACTACTTACAGTCTCTTTTTGTCTTACTACCTACAGTCTTAAAATACATGTTTTTGGTAATCAAACAAATCAGATTACCTAATAAAATAACCTCAAAACATAACAAATTAATTAACACCGAATTACCTAGTATCAATTTACTATTTTAACAATTTAATTTAGTCTATTTTGACTTGTTGTAAACTATTAACAATGTAAAACAATATAAAATTAATTAAGTAAGTAGATAAAAAAAAAGTACAACACTAAGTAGACCTACCTAATCATTCAATTTCAGAAGCATCAATATCAAAAATATATGTGTTTTGTTTTTGTCTACTCAATATATTGACTATTTTGACAACTTGCGCGACTTTAATCCGACTCTTATCGGCGACTATTGGAAAGACAAATGTTGGAGGTCCAGTTAAAGAATTTTTTTCTTAAAAAATTAACGTTCATTATCGGGTAATCTATATTGAGAATTTGGCCAGTATAATGTCGAAAACTTTTATTTGTTTCATATTTTACCAAGATAAAACCGTCAATTTCAAATTCAACTGGAATTACTTGCTGGTGATTTTGAACTGCCTGGCTCATTATTAAATTCTGTTATCACTGTATCTTTATCGGTTTCAGGGTCTTCAATATTATTTTCGTTGACATCTTCCCCTCTAAAATCTTCTACATTAATGCTTTTTCCAGGCTCTACTGCGATTTTTTTTCCTCTTGGCTTTTTTACAGTATTTTCCCTTAAACGAACATCTTGTAAAATGTCCACAAATACATCAGTTCACGATCTACTTCTACTCAATTCCTGCACTACTTCAACTTCAGGTTTAGATTTTACCCGTGCCAATACGCGTTCTTTATTGAACGGAACTATTCCAGCGGCTTTAAATCCAGCTTTGACATTAGACTCTGGAGATTGGACGGTCTCTAAAGCTTTTTTTAACATTTGTCGAAATTCAGACTTTGGCAGAACACCTCTATTTTTCTTTTTCCACTTAACTAGAACATTACGCCACGCCGATTTTAAGGGAAGGAAAAAAGCCAAGTCTAAAGGCTGACACAAGTGTGTTGAATTTAGAGGCAATAGTACAAATTTAACTTCATTAATGCGACATAGTTTAATTACATTTATCGATAAGTGGCTAGCAAGATTATCTCCTATCGAAACTTTCGGGGCAACCAAATATTTTATAAAAGGAATAAATGAAAATGTAAACCAATCTTCAAAGATTGACATATCGCACCAACCACTAATATTTCGATTATAACTCGCTCCGGGTATACCTCCCTCTACCTATGTCGGATATAAATGTAGTCTTATTTTTTGCAATATTGAGTGGCCCATTATTAACACCAATAGTGATATCGTCTAATTTAATAACTTTAATATCATCATCATTATTATTATTATTATTATCTAAAACCTCTTTAATTACCTCCCATGTGAGTTTTGGACTAAACGATAACTCCTTCAATTTGTTCTTGTAATAATTAATTTTTGCAGCTCGTATAATAGTTGTTAGTTTATTTTTATATTTCTTATAATATATAGCAAGTCTAACATTATCAGGGTATTTTTTTACTTTAAAATTTATTGCTAATTTTTGTTTAATGTGTACCGAGCAGAGAAGACCAGTTGTCATCCATTATCTAATCCTCTTACTTTTAGCCTTCACAATTTTTGTTGTTGTTGACATTTTGACAAAAATACCAACTTTATCAAGGAAAATATTTATACTATTATCAACATCATTGCAACTGAAAATATCCGCCCACGATTGAGTGAATAAAGATTATTATTACTATTCTTATTATTTAAATCTCGAATAAATAATTTACACTGAAAAATCTGTTATACCTATCTGTTATTTACAAAAAAAAAAAAAAAATTATTATTTACAAATAAAAACCCCCGGGCCATGTCATACATTTTTTAGAGTATATTTCTATTTAATGCAATGTTATTTTAGATTCCAGTTAAACACTTCAAAGATTCACAGAAAAAAAGAGAACTACGCCCAAAAATGTTTTTCAGTTGCTGAATTCTGGATATTACTTAGAAGAATTTAATAAAATTTAAACTTATTTATGTACCAACAATACATTTTTTTTTTTATTGTATATCTTGTATCGAGTTTTTTTACAAAATTCCTTATAAGTTTGTCTAGGTACCTTTATTAATAAAAAAATGTCTACAAGAACCTACAAGATTAATACATACACTCACAATGACTAAGGGAGGGGAGGGGCTGAACTATAAATCAATTTATATCATTAAATATTATTTAATTCGCTCAAGTACCTAGGTACTTAAAAAACAATACAATTGATTAATTTTAAATTAAACAAAAAATATTGTTTGGCCTAATTATAATTTAGTACATTTAATCAGTATCCAAAGTAAATACCAACAAAACAAATATTTATAATATAATTTATTACATTTAATATATTAAATATATTTATTATTATTACTATAAAATTATTTAAATATTCAATCTATGTAGAATATATTATAGGTATTAATTGTTTTGATAGCTTTAATAAAAATAATTTAAATGTGGCTAGTTAACTTTTTTACTAAAACAAAAAACAATGGACGTGAGGACGATATTAACAAAGATAAGGTTCACGAGGAATCAATCAATATTTCATCAAAACATAAAGAGGAACCAGTTATTAATGATTTGAAAAAAAGAGTTGAAAAAGTAAAAAAGATACACACAAAATTACAAGAATTACAAAATAAACAAGACTTAAATTTAAACAATAACCTCATAAATACCCTACGCGACAAAGACAAACAATGTGCGTCTACGATTAAAAATGAAAATAATTTAGAAATAAATAATTATAAAATAGAGGATATACTGAGGATTATACCAGTTATAGAAAATAATCTACAATCACTTACAGAGAAAGTAAATATAAATCGATTTGTTGTTAAAATATTTTTATGATTTTTTAATTATTGTAGGTATCTTGTTTATCTAGCTTATTTGATGCGAAGCAGCTCAATGCCAAAACAGTAACTGAACAAAATAATTCAAATAATTTTAATATAAACACTGCTTCAAGCTCTGTAAATAAATTGAATGTTGTTGTAGATAAAACAATACAAACAAATAAATTTACTTCACAGGGTTTAGTTTCTAAAGGCAATAAAAAAATGCGTAAAAACAAACGAAGGGTTATTACCAAAAAAAAATATTCTTATCAAAAGGTTAAAATTCGAAGAATTTCTACTAAAATAATTAATAAAGATGATAAAAAAGATCAAGTTATGAATGAAGAAAATGTACCCGGTTACGGTGTTAAGTCAATTGATCAGTTGACCAATTTAGATGGGCAATTAGAATCCTTTTTTACAAAAATACAGTCAGCTTTGACTCAATGTAAAATTGACCAAGGAAAAGAAAAATCGGAAATTTTGTTTAATCTGTTCAGACTGGACGATAAAATAAACACGAACTACACGAAAGTGAATAAATTAATGTCCAATATCGAACAGTTAAGTAAAATTAACGATTTCGTCAATCACGTACCTTTGAAAAAACAATTAAATCTTGAAATAAAAAATAAACATGATCTGAAAAAAAGTATAGACGATGTTAAAATATGTATTGATTATTTAATAAAACCAAATCTTATTGATACACTACAAACTCAACAGTCTGTTACTACCGATACTCCAATTACAAGCACTAATATTAATCGCACGTGTACCTCAAATCGGTGTGTTTGCAAATTAATAGACAATACTAATACTGCTAGTACACAGACTATAAATTCACATGATGCTAAAAAACAAATGAAGTACGGTGATATCATTTTATGTGAGTTTTTAAAATCGAAGCTAACTTTGGAAAGGATAAATAGAGACGATCATCAACAAATATCACAGGTAAATCAGTTTTCAAATCAAATCGACGCCAATAAAAACAGCTATTCATCATTATGTTCAAAACAATCGAATCTTTTTTCAAATAATGGAAAATGTGATGGAAATCAAATAGACATCCAAAAATCTAGTCAGTTATTAGTATGTTCAAAAAAATCAAACCATCTAATAAATAATGATATAAGACAGGAAAACCCAAAAATTAACCATTTAACTGTATGTCCCAAGAAATCTGTACATAATTTTTTTAAATTTGGTATTGAAAATCACACTACATCCAACCAACAGAATACAAAGAAATCAGTTCTTGAAAAAAACAAAATTTGTGATTTTCTTTCGTCTCAGCCAATTCCAGAATGGATAAGACTCGATGAGAATCTCATTAAATCGGATAATGTATGCTGCAAGGCTGCTGCTAAATCGTCACTATCAAATTGCACTTTAAATGTTAGTAAGTCTTATAATATTGAACGAATAATAAACGACAGTCATGACAAAAATGATATAGTTTACGAAATTACACAGAAACCCGATGTTCCAAAATAAAATAAAAACAACTATACTTTCAAAGAACGTAATTTAGCACCATTTACCTAATAGTCTAAACTAAACAATAAACCTTGGAACATGAAATAAACTTGATGAATTTACACACTAAAAAAAAAATATTAAGAAAAATGAGCTTGTACCTAAGAAATACTTACTATAGGGTAATTCAGTGGTTCCCAACCTTTTTAGTTATGCTGACCACAAATTATGTAAAACAAATTTTGAGGCCATTTTCCAAAAATACTGGTATAAAATATAAACACGTACAAATAATATGATGGAAAAATATAAACGTGTAAAAATCATATCTCGATGTTGATGCCAATTAATATTTGCAAGTGGGCCCCGGCCCATGGGTTGGGAACCACTGGGATAAATAATCTGTATATACTATATTACTCTGTTCCAAATAAATTTGGATAAGCTCCCACAGCCGACTGAACGGTCGTAGCGCTGTGATTGGCTGCAGTTATCCGCATGTATCGTAGAAGATATACACGTACTATATACTACTATGGTTACAGAATATTGTTATTTACCGAGAACGCTAGTACGAATATATTTATTTGTCTATGCCTCTATCAATGAAAATAATATCTTAATACGAACTATCAATGAAAATAGTATGATAACATCTACAACGTCTTTGATAATATCACTATGGATAATTAAATACCGTTCGACTAAATAACATTATTATACTTTTTCACTCAGATATAATTATTCCCTACGAAAATTATGTGAATAATATCTATATTTACAGTCTTTCGGTATAATTATATAATTAGCTTTACAAATTATTTTTATCTTATTTACTTTATTTTTATCTTTTTTACTTATTGTGGGATACTAAAGAAGAAACCATATCAGTCAATCTATTAGTTAGATGCAGCAAAGATTCGTAACACCTGTGTCATCATGATGCAACCTTGAACAAAACCCAGATTTGTTATTTCGTGACCCGGCACCAGGCACTCCCGTAGACGAAGAACGACTTGAGGAAAAATTGGTAGGGGCACCTACAACGCCGACAACCTAAATTTACCACAAGTCAGACTGAATCTTCTCTATGTTCAATAACCACGGCAGTAATGACACACTCCTCACCACGACTTTCGAAAAGTAGCAGTCCGAAGACGCTACGAATCGCGACATAATTGATTATCGCAAGTAGGACAGCTCAGCGCGGAACGCTAAGAGTACAGAATTGGGAACCTACACATATGTATTTTCCGACGGTCTCTTACGCGTAAACGTAGGGCCCCACACACACATCGTGATACCGAAAACCAAAGCACAACAGGTCATTTGGAGGTGTCACGATCACGTCTAGTCCAACCATCCTGGTTGGAAAGAAACATACAGGGCGGTACGACAACGGTATTATTGGAGAGGGAAAAAGAATGACGTCAGGTTATATGTCGGGGCGTGCACGAAACTGCTAAACTCGCGCCTCACCGATCCAATACAACCTAGAACCCCCCGTCAACCATGGGAAGTTATCATACCCACGTTCCGGTAAAAGAAAATAGTACATACTAGTAGCAACAGATTGGTTTAGTAGATGGACCGAGGCTTACCCCCTAGGAACAGCAACCTCGAAAACATAATCGAAACGCTAGAACGCGAGTTTTTTCACGTTTCGGTTACCCCCACGTGTGTCTCAGTGATAACGGCCCACAGTTTGTGTCAAACGAAATGTTTGAATGAGCGCTGGGGGGCACAAGGTTGGACGACTCTAGTTCTTGTATCATGCATAATAATATACGAAAAAAATAAAAAAAAATATAAAAAATATTGTTAACTAGGTTAAGTAAACATTCATATGTAACAGGTAAAATACCATAACAAATCAAATCATACAATACCCAATAAGCTAAGTAACAACATAGAAACAATTATGCATTCCACCAAATTAGGATAAGATATGAATTATTATGTAATACAATCACTTTGTCGTATACATCGATCACAGACGTACACAAATAAACGAACAATTAATAAATAAGCACTTTTATTAAAACTTTTACGTCCAGTGGCGATCGAGTCACACGATCACCACCTGGCTCTAACACTGGTAGTGCATGATACAACATAGTCTACCACCCAAGGGCCAACCAGGTCGAAAGCCACAACCAAGACATAAAAAAAGGTTTGAGCTCACAGCTGGTCGAGGACAAACATAAATCATGGGACACGAAGCTATCCGCTATCTTATTTGCAACACGTAACAGGTGTAACGAACAGACAGGTTATAAACCCGCGGTACTTGTCTTAGGTGGAGAATGCAAGCTACCCGGAGATTGGACAGTTTCAACATCGACACCAACACACGTCCACAAAAATCAAGAAGAAAGGGTAGTGCGGGAAAAGTGTATATTAGGCAAAAAATAAGTGATTAAGGGCCGGTTTTTCAATTGTTATAGTAACTGCCAGTTAGTTAACTTTCAGTTAATTTAAACCATCAGTTAAAACGCCGGTTAAAAAGTGCACTGTTTATCAAGCCAAATTAATGTGCCAGTTAGTTAACTAGAGGTTAATCGTAAAATCAATATATCTTGCGAGTGGTCATACTGCAAAAAGTGTATTATCTTAATACATCTGTCTATTATCAATAGTATAAACGAGTTAACGAGCATAATTATTAAAAAAAAATTGAATGTGTCCGTAACTCGTAAGTGCTAGTAATTGACATATGAGATTTTATTATTTTATTTATTTTATTATTTAACTCACCAGGGCTTTTAATTTTAATGAGTACAGTCAATGGCCCCAATAACCAACGGAAATTTGGCTAAACCATACAATTGTTTATGCAGCTCTTTTATTTCGTCATTTGTTTCTGGCATTTTAACTATTTGAGGACGAAGTTTTGAGAAGGCTACACTTACATCATGTACGATAACACATGCAGCAGATTTACTTACACCCATGACATCTCCAGCACTAATTAAAAAAGATGCCTTAGCATAAAATCTCAGAGGTAATACAATTTTTGTGCAGGTGTTATAGCATCATTTCTGTACATAAAAAAAAAAGTCACTGAGTATTTTATTTGGATTAATTTTTGAATAATGTAAATACTACTATGTACATTACCTGTCTGTATTTGAGGATATTGTAGGGCCAATCATATTTAATATCATCATAACAGTTTCTTTATATAATCTAAAGCGATTTTTAAAATCTAGTTCATCCCAAGTCCTAAAATGATCAACCCTAATTCGTACAGTATACGGTCTGCGTTGATAATTTAAATATTCTTGAAATTCAACGTCATCGTCATATAAAAGTATTTCATTTTCGAAATTCATAGTTGTAACTTGTAAGTAAGTATCTGAATTCAAATTATAAAGAAAAAATAGAAGTGAATGTGAAACGTATTAAAGTGTACTTGCGAAAATTATCACAATCAATGATAATTATTAAATTAACTAACAGTTAAAAAGTTAATCGGAAGAAATAGTAGTGGTTAGTTTAACTATCAGTTAAACCTGATGGTTAACTTAACTGGAGTTCCAAAAACAGTTTAACTGGGCCAACGTTTTAACCGGCAGTTAAATTCTACTAACTGCCAGACCGTGCCAGTTAAAGTCAATTGAAAAACCGGGCCTTAGCCGAACATGAATACCGGTACACTGGTAAAGTTCGGCAAGGGCGACGTAGTCTACTAGAAAGCGCACCACCTATCAAAAGCACATAAAGATTTTCAAGCCGGATTCGTGCCGAAATGGTGGGGTCCGGTATGGAGTTTTCCTCGCCGACCAACAACCGCTGCGGAAAATACATGTGTCATGCATAAAGGTTACAAGGGGACGACAAGTGGGAGCCGGTCGCAGGCCTAATCACCCGGCTCGGACTGGTCAACACCGACAGCCGCGCAGGTACGGAGAATGTCGCTGCGTCAGCTTCTACAGGACCTGGTGCGGGCGGCGATGTATAACCGCGGCTTGGACGACCGGACAGCGGACGTCGAGCGACGGTTGCCGCCACAACAGCCGACAACACCAAGCAAAAGCTTATTTGACAAAAATATTTGACAACTGTAAAAAAAAAATAAATGCTATTAATAAATTTTAAATAATTATATGGAATGAATTTTAAATATTTTTTTTAAGGCATACCGTGCGTTTTGTTTCCATGCTTATTGGGCAGGCCAGAATTAGTGTATCATTACAATTATTGCTGGCCGGGATGGAAATTTGAACTACTTCATCATCATCAATTATTATAGTATGTGTATTTGTGGATGAATGAATTCTATTTATTTTTAAATTCATATTTTACATTATTTATTTTAATTATTTTAGTGATGTTGGAATAGTCAATAAATATTTACCTTGTGGGTTCATATGATACATCAATCATAAGGTTCAGCCACCAAGAATCCAATTCATCCACAAATTGACCAAACAATTTGTCCAATGACAATATATTATTAATACTAATGAATTGTAAGAAATTCATTATTTTTCTATTGTTGCTATCGATTATGCCATAAGTTAGATATTTAAATTTATTTATACATTTAAGTATGAGTGTAATTTAATTAAATATTTTTTTTGTTTGTATGCAGCTGTAAGTAAATTTTTTTCACAAATTTGGACACTGTAAATTGAAATATTAAGATTAGTTATATTAATAAGTTATGTTCACTATTTTACTTACTCATCAATAATTTGTTGTTTGTATAGCATGGTGTTTGAGATGAAATTATCTAAGGATTGAATGTTGGTAATAAAATAGATATTGTTTATATTGAACTCGGAAGGTATTTTGTTGAAATATTTTCGAGGCATACTATATTTATTATTATTATGTGTCTGTATATGATTTATATGTTTGGAATTTGGAATAATTTTTGACTGATTGACTTTTAAATATCTCTATTGTTTTTTTTTTCGCCCTAACTTTTTGCTAAAATTTAGAGATAAAAAATTAGATGCTATGTCATTTATATTTCCCTGCATAATGTCTTCTTCAATTTGTTGGATTTTTATATATTCTATTATTTTATTAATGTCTGTATATCTTGATAGCACCTGTATAATAGTTATTGTAGTTTATTTTTTTAGTTTATTGTTTAGTTTTAAGTGTATATAGCAGCGTTTCCCAACCGGCATGCCGCGGCACATTGGTGTGCCGTGAGGCATCCATAGGTGTGCCGCAAAATGTCATGATTATTTAAACACTTAGGTAAAATTTCGATAATAAGTTAAAATATTTTGAAGTGAAACCAGACCCGAATTTCTCACTAGGACTAGATTTTTATAATGTAATCGTAACATAACTGTAATGTAATGTCTCTGTTTTTCCACGTCCACAACCAGGGAATAAGGGGCCACATGTGAGGCAAGCCTACCCCAAGCGCAAGCAAGGGGGAGCGCAAGCTAGACCACACACTTCGGGATGTCGGCACCGGTACAAGTGTACCCCTTGCGGCGGTTTGGTGGTGGAGTATGAGACGGTACGCAACGACCAGTACAAAGTTCAGGCGCCGGAGCACCTTATCAACCTTTCACGACGGCACGACACTGTCAACTCCCCCTCCATGCTAAAAGGCACATGGTGGGACGGGATGGCAAGTCGCGCTGGACGAGAACCGGCCGCCGACGAAACCTCTGTCGACCATCGACCGTGTACCATCAACCCGCCTACCCCGACACCGACCCTCATCGTCTCGACTTCTTGAAAACAAGTGTTAAAAGCATAAATTAACACTCTGTTCTTTTGCACACGAATAAATAGCCACGCAAGGCATTTCTGAACCATAACTGCGTTGCGTTCTCTTTCATTTTTGTGTTTCTTTCCCTTTTGTGAGTGACAACCACCAACACTACGACCGGCTCACCGCGGACACCACTCCATCACCGCCGTAGCCGCGTCAATATACATATTAATATGTATGTATTAATATATATTAATAAAATTGTTGGAAACCCTTGTTTTAAAAAAAAATAATGAATGAAATCGGTGAAGGGGTTTTTATGATTCTATATATAAGTTAATATAACTGTTTTACTGCAGTGCAGATATCTACCGATCTTCAAACGCAGATCGCGGAAAATTGAAAGCTAGCCTGCCGTAAATTTAGAAATGTAGACATTGAAGAAAAAAAAACTTAAAAAAAGTAAAGTTTCTATTAGGTAATAGATCAAAATGAGACAACATATTTTGAAAATTTTCAATTTTCATGTATAGAAAATAATAAAATAAAAACATTTCGTGAAAATGTCAAGTACCTACGGTTGTTAGTTTTTTAATTACAATAAAATAAGAAAATTCCTTTGAGATTTTGTTAATTTACCAGTGAATATCTAATTTCTATCTATTCAAACGCTCATAAAAAAATACTGTAGATTTACCTCGAGATTCACGCTCACTTTTTTTTTAATTTCCAATAACAAAAACTTATGATAAACCATTAACTTGTATTAGATTTTTAATACCCACCAAAAATATAACAAAAATAATTAAATACAACTCATTTGTCATGCATTGTGTTCTACAGTACAAAAATTCATATTTAACTTACTAAGAAATATTTGTGTTGATTTTTGTTTTTGATAAATACACGCATAAAATCAGCTGCAATTCAATAATGTAACTAGGAATTGAACAGAAAACTATTTCTATCTTCATTGCATTTTGAAAGAGATCTTCGCTCATAATCTAACCTATATGAGATTCGACCGTGAGAGTTGTATGTGATTAACCTAGGTGCATTAGATCTCATCAAATAATTAATAATATAATAACCGCAGGCTGCAACTATTGGTATAATATAATATAGATACCTTCCCTGTTATTGTTTTTTCTGTTTTTTTTTCTTTTTTGTCTGTCTTCTTCGTGAATAGTTATAAACAAAGGATCGTTGGGCTTTATAATTTAAGACATGCATATAATTGCGTTATGTATTTAATACGGTATATAACGGAGAAAAAAACCGAATTTTAATTGGGTGTGTACGATTTTTTTTACCGTCTGGAAATTTAAACACACGGACGCGCGAACCGGTCACATTAATGGTCGACCAATTTGTTTTTTTGGAACGATCTAATAAAAAAAAATCAACAATACTGATTAATCGATACGATCGCCACGTAGGCCTCGTCGTCGTCCGGTGTACGACAGTGTTTATATACGTACTTATATAACCAAGAGCAGTTTATACATATATATATATATGTATCCGCTGCACCTGTTGTCATTTCTATAATACTTTTGCTGGTTATACCTATACTTATGTGCACGCAAGATTAGGTAGATTCTTTGATCTCGGCATTTTATTTTTATTTATTTATTTATGATTATTTTTTTAGTCCACGTGTCCATTATATACATAGCAGTAGGTATTACAGACGTGTACACCGCTAAATGATGGGTATTATACTAATATTATCCCTCCCGGTATCTAGACTTCACGTGTAGGTACCTAGTATATGCGGTGACATTTAATACGAACAACTCACCTTCATATACCATATTATGTATATATTACACGCTGTGGTTTGATGATAATAATATGATGTATGGTGAAGTGACGTATATTTCAATGGAACAATGTTCCAAAAATGGTACATTTTCATATAATATTATCACGTTATATACTCTCCACTAAAAGTTGAGGAATCAATAAATATATTAATTATACTTACTTACAATAAAATAATTATTTTAAGGTCATTAATAGTTAAACAGTAGTCTTACTGTGGAATTTATTTTTTATTGATTTAATACGGACTAATACTAGAATCTGTTCAACATTTCGTTCCAGACCACGTCTCCGACCAAGTTCTCTGCTAAGATTCACTATACCATTTGTGCTAAAAAGACGCAAATACAAATTAATAAATTTATTAATTATTAATAATTTCGTTTTGAAATCAATTAATTTTTAAATTGTTCAGCTTTTATTAGAAAGTATATTATCATGTTCTATAATTAAAAATGTATGTTTATAAATTTGATACATTTATAATAAAGTTAGTTTAGAATTGTGAGTTTTTTTTTTAATCTCAAAGTCTGCAGATAAAATTAATTCAACTTTACAATATATCCAACACATTCATCTTGTAAAAAAACTTCTGAGCTATAAAATGTTACTATACTTGCAACTATATCACGCCCAAATTTTTATCACTACAAAAGTACAGATTACTTAAGATTTCAGGTTTTTACCAAAATTTAATTTTCTTTGTTTTTCACAAAAAGTTAGTATCTATTATGTTTTCTATATATGATAAAATATTCAAAATATTTTACACATTTTAGTCTTTAGAGCTATTTGTAGCAGAGCTTGCAAAGGGGAAAATTATTACGTTTTATTTGACAAAAAACTGTTAAAACCGTAAAAAATCGTAAACATAATTATAACGGAAAACAATAAACAAAAATAATTATTGCCTTACCAAAAAACCTAAGAGCTTATTATAATATTCCTTATCCGTTATATTCCTTATACCGCATTAGTTATTATTTTTTAATTTAATAGGACTTAAGGGTAATTTTATATATTATAATATATCAACTCATTCAAAACAGACCAGGAATAATATAAAATACCTACCTATGTGTTGTATAATAGAATACCAATATTAAATATTAATAAAATAATAAATTATAATTTGGCATTTGCTGCTAACATTGCAAATATTGTTGAAAAAAATAATATTGATAGAAGAAAATTTAATACAAGGTTCCTCATAGTCACAAGCTATTTTATAAGCATTTAAAGTTTAAATGTTGACAACATTCATCAAAATTACAAAAATTTTCAAAGTAAAATATTGTATGGTTAAAAATGTAGAAAATGTTCAATTTTCCCATGCTGTTATTCGATTATATGTTTTTTTTTTTATATTGTAAGACTTGCATAGTAGTTATTTGCGTTAAATTGTTAATAGTATTAACATTTTACTTAATTATTAAGTTATTAATAATTGTTTATTTACTACATTATTATATAAGCTTGCTATAAGGATTTTCATTGTTTTTTGTTTATTCATAATCTAAATTCTAAAATGTGTGAAATTAAATGATTTTTGTTTATATGAAAAAAGGCAGGGAACCACTGCCCTAAAATTATGAACATAATATCTATATAATTTATTAGTGAATAAATAATTTAACCAAATATTCGTGTATCGAGATAATTTTTTTAATTCAGATGATCTAGCATAGTTCAATAATATAATAATAATATAATTTTTTTTTTTTGTTTTTTGTCGGTACAAACACCTTACATTAATATTTATTTTGTGATTCCCATAGAGAACTGACCTTCCTAATCCGGATAAATACCTGTGTTGAATTTCAAGCGAAACGGACGAGTAGTTTTCAAGATTTTGAGTGCGGAAAAAAGCGACATTCATTTTTATTTATATAGATAGATAAATTATCCTGATGCACTGTGTATACTTACTGTGTACCATTTCGATATTTGCAGCAAGCACATGTAAAGCATT